GTTAATCATTAAAAATGTTTATATAGTTTTTCGAAGAATTCTCCAAGATGATCGATATATTTTTGCATTCGATTGAATCAATTTTTGAAACAGTTTTTGCCACTCTGAAGTTGGTATCACCGAAGACAGGGTTTTAAATGTCTCAACGGCTTATTCGGGAGTGGAAAAACTCACGACACGTATTTTTTTACTCCTCTTTTTAAGGGAGATTTAATCTTTAAGTATTGTTTCCTAATCAGCTGTTAACTGCCCACAAATCTATCACAAGATTTGATATCATATCATATCTTTATCTTTACGGAGCGTCTCAATGAGAGTACTGCATTGATTTTATAACAACCTGCATATTATTGAGTCTTCCTATCTTTAATTGAATTGTTCAACACAGAGAGAAATCAAGAAATGTATGTATGTTAATAATATGTTCAAATTTTTTAGGTGTTCAGAATAAACAACTAGGGTACTTCAGGTTCCTTGCAATTGTTGAAAATATCTCCATAACGAACAACCTAGAGTAAAGAAATGTTAAACTGAGTCGACATCTCATTTAGAGATAATCCTGCTTAGAGTGATTTAATATTCCACATACTAAAGGTTATTGTGACATGCGAATTCCTTTTTCTAAAGTAATCCATATCACTTAAATTAAGTGGCTTACTTTGTCAATTTGACGAAGTTCCAATAAAAATTTATAATTTTTTTAAGGTCTTCAAAGAAAAGTTTTTCAATAATTTTAGATCAGTTTCTTCTATTTCATAGCAACTTTCATAGCAAATTAACAGTACTTTAAGTTGAAGTACACAAGCCAAGTACGACTTTATGCCAGTTGGCTAATGAACACTGACTCTGAGCTGCAAATTTAGCAGGGTGTAATTTTGACTCTAGGTTTTTGCAGTTTCAAACAATTATTTACGAATAATTAAATATAAGAAATAATTCCAAAAAGGCACTACTAATGATGGGTATTTAGCAATACTCGGAACAGCTGTATGGTCAGCCAAAAATTTACTTAATTAAATATATTTAGGTACCATTGTACATTAGGACGAATGGCATCCTTAGGGACCTCAAGATTGATCCGGTCAAAAAATACATAAAGGATAGAGCCCTGAAATTATTTGTGAAAAGTGACAGACTTAACAACACCGCGTTATCGAAACTCAGAATGGTTACTGGCTCCTCGGGGAGATATGCAGATTTGAGGTCAATTATTGCTTAGTCTGATGAAGTGTTAAACAATAATCCAGTCAAGGCGTAAAGAGGAGTTTTGAAGTTACCTCGAGTTAAGAAAAAGTAATTGTGTTTAAGTGCACTGGCTTAATTAGCTTCATTATGATAAATATAATAAAAATGTTTGTTGTTGTAATTCAATGCTTTTCAATAAAAACCTCTCTATAGGAAACAATAGTTTAAGTTAATACTGAAGTTTCTTTGGTCAAAACGGATGTTAAAAATAAATTTAATTATATTAATTTGTAGTATATGTGTACATATTCATATATATGTATAGATAGTGAACATATATAGTTTGCCTATAAAAAGAGGAAAATATTTTCGATATGAAATTTTATCAAGTATGCAAAGTATCTTTTGGTTTTATTAAAAGTAAATTTTAATATGAAAAATATTACAACTTGAGGAAATAAATGAAAATAAATTTCCTTGTAATAATTTAAAATGGCTCCGTATGCTCTGAAATTTTAAAAATCCGACTACGAACACGGCCATACACGCTTACACACACAAACATGGTTGACCACATGGCAGACATCACACGTAAACGTAATAAAGCAATAAATTGCCCAATTTGATGCACTATTGTGGTGCAATAATTTGTTGCAAGTGGCAACATTTTTCCATGGTAATAATTTTTTTTGCCAGTTTTTTTCAACTTTCCGTGATTTTCGTACATTTCCTTTATACAATTTCATTTTAAAGAAATGCATAATTTGTCAACGTCATGTGATTGATGCGTTGAGAACGCACTGCATACGCAATGCGAGCAATTTATTACAAAAGGATCAAAAAACGGACGAACGACGAACGACGAACGGAGAGAAGGATGAATTTATATGGAAATGGAAAAAATTGCTGGCAGGGTGTGAAGTTTGCATTTTACTGCTTCACTTGAAATTAGTGGTCATGGGTAATATTTTTCTTTATTGAAACGTGATTTAAAAAACACAATTTTCTGTAAAAAAACAAAAAAAAAAAATGAAAAATAAAATTGAATTAATTTTCTGGTTTCTTATATAAATTTTTTTTGTTGTTGCTGTGTTGCTGACTGCAGGATGTTTAATTTCCTAAAAGCATAAATCTACTTAATATGTTAAAACCAAAAAGATGATATTATTTTTTGGTAAATCTTATGTTTCTCAACATCCGAAAAGCATAAAACAACTTCAAACAAAAATTTTACACACATAAGAGCAGGAACACAAAATGCGTTATCCTAGCGCCTGTCTACGTACTCGTATATGCGGATTCGTCCAGCACAAGCACATGCACACTGGCATATATTGGTATTCTGTTGCCCCAGCGTATTACAATATTTCAGGTTCATTTGTTTTGTTGCTTGAATGTCATGATACAAACCGGAAAACAAGTCACAAACATTTTGTGGGCAGCATCCATTGAGACTGTGACCAGCATAAAAAACCAACATTTACTACCCAACAAACTTCCGGTATTACCTGCAAAAACATAGATAATTTAGCAGGGTGTGGATTGCACGCTTACTAAAAAGCAACAAAGACGAAAGCAACAAACTCGGCGTGAGCGGCACAACGGTAGCGACAAGTGCGTCACCACTGTTAACGCATGTTTTAACACGCAGTGTTGCCACTGTACTGTATTCCCTAATGCCATATCCATGCGCCATATTCCATACTCCACGGTCCATGCTCCATGCTCCATGCTCCATGCTTCAAATCCCATACCTCACGCTCAATGACAATGACCATTTCAGTTTCATTTATTAATGTTATGGCTGCAGGATACAGTAGCATGATATGGAATCGCATGTTGCTGTGTTGCTGTGTTGAGCGGAAAAATGTGGAATCTTACCTTTCTCAGCCCATAGAAAATTGCCAATTGTAGGAATGCAAATTTATGGCTTATTTGTTTTGTGATTATGTTTGGCCTTTTTCCATGTATGACTGAAGCTACCCACAACCAAGCAGCCGTTCAACTGATTGTGTTTTTCTCTATTAGTTCTCGCTTGTATCTGTCGCGCTGTGTATCCATCTAAAAGCGTAAGCCTGTGTCAACCCTTTTTATGAGGACTCTAATGTTTACTCTGGACAATTTAATGTGCTCATCGGTATAGGTAAGCTGAAAAGATTTCATTAACAATAATTTAGATAAACATTAGTGTTGATGTTATCATTTGCTTAGATATTTAGGCATTTAGTGAAAAGGGGACAGAGCACAGCATCTGCAGCAGCAGGAGACTGTTCCAGTAATGAGTCTAATCTATGCGGTGATAAAAGCAGTTTCAGTAATTAAAGCATAAAGCTTAATAAAACGTTAAACGCGTTACAAAAAACACCTAAACAAGGTTTAAATACAGTTTTTTGTGTTGGAAAGAGTAGTTTTTTTTTCGGGTTGGCGCCGAAAATGGCAATAATTGCATTTAAAGCCCCTGTGCCTAATAAATATGTCAGTTAAAATTTTTCTACAATTTATTTATTATAATCATGCAATTTTTATAATTTGGCTTTGTTTTTGTAGAAACGCATTTACAGTGGCATAAATCTGCCAATTGAATTCTAATGTTACGCACACGCATTTTTGCTCAGTAATTTATTTTGCATGTTTGGCGCTGTCCTGCCCTTTATCCTGTTATGTTATCCTGCGTTTCAGTTCCAGTTCCAGTGTTTATATTTCTGTGCTTGCATTTGAAGCTGAAACTGTATCTGCGTATCTGAGTATCTGAGTATTTGTATTTGTATTTGTTTTTATCGCTAATGTTACGAGTAGAGAATCAATCATGAATTTGACTTTGGAAACGGGAACCAGGGAGCAATTACAAGGGCACGCAGTGTATATAAACGCATTACTTTTTATTTATGGTTGCATTCTTATGAGGCGTCGAACGGCATGAATTTGTAGCCTTAAAATTTAAATAGCCATAAACGTACTTTTATCTCAGGCAGTTAATGTTTTATATGCTAATGTCCTTTGCTTAAGGATACGCAGCAAGTGTTTGAAGGAGTATGTTAAATCGACTAAAAAATCAAGCTTCGTATGTAGTTTAAGAATGATCGTAAATTTATAAACATCAATTTTTGAACAGAAATTCTTAAAAATTATAAAAATGCGGACCTGCAATTAGCACTACTTTACTTTGTGGTAAACAAATGAGATATTGATAGGAGCAATTGCATTTCCGATGAAAGATTTTGAAAAACAAAAAAATATTTTTAAACATTTGAATATAAAAATCAAACTAAACCGAAATCAAATAACATCAAATTTAAATAATAAACAATGATAATTAATCAAATTATCTAAACTGTGAAGTTATCAGTCAAATACATAAAGCAATTACAATAAATCCAATACCAAACATAACTCATATAATAGGTATAATACGATAGATACCCAAAATACTTAGAGCTCAATATATACTTAATAGATACTTAGAGCTCAATATATTGAGTCCATAAAAAACAATTCACAGATAGTGCTAAATGCTATATATGTTACTAGCAATACCTAAAATTTTTTGTTTTCCCCAGCCTCAAGTTACCACTTCGAAGATAAATTTTTCAGTTATCACAGTATATAGAAGAGAATTCGCCGAAGATGCTAATTGTCATGAAAAGTTAGTACCTTTTGGGCCTAGGAAAAATGTTTTAAGGACTAGAAAAGACGTCGCCTTAGATAGTGGCTATGGAGAAGAAAAGAAGAAGTTCAAATAAATATTGAAAATAAATAAACCATTATTGTTTTACTTTAAAATCCAAACATAATTCAATTGTAAGATACAACACTTGTAGTACATGACAGTATAAGTTTTTAAGCAGAATCGAATTTATATTACTTTTTTAATATTATAGTTACTATACCATCCATTTCTTCTACTCTCTTGACAACGTAATTTTATACATAATACAATAATTTTGTGAACTCCAACTAAGCTCAAAAAAAAAAAAATATTTTTAATATGTGCCCCTTTTAGGACTTCCTCACCATGCCACTGATAGATATATGCAACTTATTTGTTTCTTTAACTGAGAGATATTTCCTTGATCTTGAACCGGGTTTTTCGATGAAATACTATCTTTAAATAAGTATATATTATACATAAATATAAAATAAACCATAACAAATAAGATAAAATTTTTTTTCAAATATTTAAGTTGGAAGTAAATTATAAATTAGCTTATAAGACTGTATCTCACAGATAGTGATGAATGTTGACATGATTCGAGAATCTATAACTCTGGTATTCAATATTCGATCATGTACTAACAAACATAAGGAATATTTTTATAATTCTGATTGATATTATATGACTTAATTAAAAATTGGTTTTCTGTACAAAAATATTTCATTCTCACATGCATTCGAATATAAATGGTATAAGCAAATAGAAAGTCTGAAAGTCTTAATACCGCATAAGTAATATTTTTTATTTAATAAAAATAAGTACTTATAGATATATAAGTACTGAATTATTTATATAAAATAAATACCTATAAAACTGTTTAATATATTTATGATACCTAACGTGTCTTGTAATGGTAAGAGCTCAACGCTAGATAGGTGGGTGCATGTTGCGCGATAGAGCCCACGAAGCTACCAAAAAGAAACTGTTGACATTAATTCAAATATCTTCGTCTATAGCTAAAATTTTTAGAACAAAAATACTGGGTATACTTTTCTAAGGGAATAGTGCAAATTTTATCATTGCGCAGAATCGCTCTTTTCAAGTGATTAAATTAGCATTTCTTGTATTTTTAACATAAGGTTAGCAGAGCTCTTAACGAATATAACATAAACAGCCAAGCAGTTAACATAAAAATGTTTAAAATATTTTTAAAATGTACTTAATTCTAATAATAAGATAGAAAGATGTTAAATATGATATTTTTATTATATTTCGTAAGTATTTAATCCGTTCTGAAAATAAAGTTGTTACCAAATTGATTTCCAAATGTCGGCGAAGTTTTTGGAAAAAAATATTCAGTCAGCTTGGCTCAATAGCGCTCACCATACACTGTATTCAATATTCAGTTTTAATGGATGTAATGGTGATTCGTTAACGGCTTGAGGATTATCTTCGTTCCACACATTTTTGTTTATTGCCATTTAACCAGAAATGAGTTTATTACTAAACACCATAAAATGGACGAAGTGTTCTATGAGATTTATTTTTTTCAAAGTAAAGTTCAACAATTTGGAAGCATTGTTCTAGCTTTAAACGATCCATGATGAATTGCCAAACCTTACTGAGTAGAAATGTGAATGTAATTTGACATTCTCAGCCGTTACGCCATAGTTATCGATATCGATAGCTGCCACGCAGCTAAAAAAACACCCGATAGAACATAAATTTTTAATCTAATAAGTCAAGTGACATCTTTGGCGAAAATAATACAATTTAAAATACAGGATATAAATATAGCTGTATTGTCAAAGTGGGTAACATGAAAAATAAATTGTTTGAATTCCAGTACGTTCAATCAACATATCAGAAAAAGATTTGTTTTGGGCTTTTAGTCTTTTGTAAAAAGACTCTCAAATATTCAGTAATATTTTTTAGAATGTGATTAGAGGAAGATTTGATTTTTGCTTACAATCAAAGGATTGTAAGGATGTCAAAGGATTCATCTATGCTTTGTAGTGTCTGTTAAATGGTTATCGATATGAGTTCAATTTTTATTTTTAGCTACAAAAATTATCTTTATGATCAATTAGACATCGTCTGTCAGTAAAAGTTGTCCACTTTGTAAAGGATATGATTTTTATGTTTTTTTTCTATATCAAAAATAATATTTTCAATCTTCCAATTGGGAAGGAACGACTTTGAAGTTTGTCTGCATTAATACTGTACGATTTTAATGTTATTTGTCTGTCGAGGTTTTACAGCATGTCTGGCATTTTAATGCAATTTTTAGCTTTGTTTTTATACACCGAATAAATATTCCACATACCTATTCCTTTCTTTTTATTATTTTTCACTTTTCAGTACAATTTCCCTTTACGAATTTGCCAATCAATTTTTAACGGTCTGCTTAACAGAAATGCATATTACCTGGACTCATACCTGCTCATACCTTGCTCTGTTTTCAGATGTAATTGCTTCGAAAAAGTGAAAACTTTGAAAATCAATTTTCAAACTTAATAGCGAAAGTAGTTGAAGTTTTGATGAGTTCAAAGTATTTTAAGAAATTCAACCCGTAAAATATTTAAAAACTTTTTAAGTGCTAACAATTAAAATAATTTTCCAAAAATATTTGCTAATGCAAATTTGTGTGATAACTGATTTGAATGAGAGTTAATCTCATTGGAGTTAAGCTCCAAAAAAGACTTTTACTTGAAATATGAATAATAATAAACAATTAATTTAAAATATCTATTAAACCTTTTTAACATATTTTATAAATTTTTAAGCATATTTTAAAAGAATTAATTATCTGTTTATAGTTTTGAATGCTTAAAAGAAATTTTCTCTATGAAATACTAGTACTGATTAAAGACGGCACACTTGTCAACTAAATTTTATTTACAAAGCAATTAACACCTTTCCCACCAATTTGTCTTGGCATCTACACTGTTTAAATAACAGCATAACAACTTCATTAACCATACATTTAACAACTTTTACTTTTATCTGACAAAATTATATAAAGACCAAATTTTGGGTAAAAGTGTTAACTTGACTTTCTTCACTGACATTGAAAATATGCCTTCAGCGTACGCGGCAATTGTGATTTTAATTTTGGCTGTAACACAGTTTGTAGGAGCTGACATAAGAGCAGATCTACGTGAATTTGAGTCTTTAATACCACGTCAAAGAGTTGGCTTCATTGCTGCCAGGCACTACATATTGGATCAGAAGTTTCGACAAGCTCTCAATTTCGTACGCAGTCAGGAATTCAAGGATACTTGGGATGACATACGTGAAACCGATGAGTTTGATGAAATTGTAGAGTATGTTACCACAAATGGTTCTGGTTATGATGTGACAAGTGTTGTCGACAGGATTCCAAATAAGTTGAGAAATTTTCGATTACCTGTTAATGTGCCAGTCGATCTGATGTTGGAACGTAATTTATCATTATATTTAAGAGAAATTCTAAGTATATTACCGCGCAGGAGAATTTCTAATTTAATGATGAAAAAAGTCAATGAAGGTGGAGACTTTGCTAAACTATATAAAGCACTTAGAAAGCCAGAATTTCGGGAAATGGTCAGCAAAGCACGAGTGAGTACAATAAATGGGATGGGAAAATATAAATAATAATAAATAAATGGGGTGTAGTTAAATTTCAATATTTTGAATAATGTTCTTTAGTATGTTTTACGGTGATATAGCATGGCTCTCGAGATATTGGGTCTTAAAGTAAGATGTGTTTTAGATTGGATATAATAAACTAGATATGCCATTCAGTGGCAACAAGTATAAGTGATCTTCACGAACGATCAGGCATGCTTTTTACTATGACGAGAAATCAATGCCTAAAAAAATTGCTGATAAACAACTTCTCCATTTACTGGGAGTATGAAGTAAAATATTATGGACTGACTAGAAATAAGAAGTTGACATGTTAATTAAATGTCCGAACTTTTAGGTATTTATAAAGCACAAAAACTCCTAAAGAGCAACTCCTCATTAAGTGAGAGTCAAAAGTAAAATATATGGACTAAATTTTGACAAAATTTTTTTAATAAAACAAGCATATAGGGAAGAAGAAGATAGCATGTAATTTAAAAGTCCGAATTTTTCGGTGTTTACAAGGCACAAAATGATTAGAAAACCCCTGGTGAACACATTCCTCATTAAGTAAGAGCTCAAAGTAAAATATTTTGAACTACTTTCGACGAAAATCTTTTATGAAGTAAGCATATAAAGCACTAAAGCATTGTATGAATCTTAAACTCCAAACACTTAGGCCACTATTGGCCTTAAAAATTAGTAGTTAGAACAAAATATAATATTTAAGCAAGTAATCAGGCCCATTTTACTTTATAGCTGCATGATTTTTTGACAACGACACGGATACGTTAAACAAACTTCAATAATAACAATATAATGCTCTGAGAAGACATGTAATGGCACTGTGTTGTTTTAGAAATTCAGATATAAACAAGGATATGAAAATTGAAAGCATTATATTATAATTCCATTAACTTCGTCATTAGGAATTAGTAGAGCCTGCAAGCCGTTCTATACTCTCCAGAACACTCACTAGAATGTAAAGCTAAGTTCTTTACAGACTAGCTATTCTTTTTTCACCAGTGGCAAAATTTCATTTAAACTTACAAGTGAATTGTTCAAGTAATATTCTTCATAAGCAAGTAAAAGTACTTTAAACACTAACTCTAGAACTCCAAAACAAAACAATAGGAGAAAGTACAAACAAAGCTCAACAGTTACGTACGCCATCTAGTTGTGATAATTTTAACGTAAAAGTTTGTCAATTTAAATACTCACATATTATAAATCAATCTATGTCGACATAAGGCATTTTGGAAAAAGTAACTTAAGCGTCATCTGCTGTTAATGATTTTTATGTGAAAGTTTTTAATTTTAGACCCGGATATCTCAAGAACCAAGTTATGTTGATATAAATACTTTGTGGAAAAATTACTAAATCATTTTAACTCCAGTTTTGTACTATATTGACATACAACGTACTAGAAAAAGTTACTACGAATATTGAAATTTACCCAAATTTTTTTAACATAATGTAGAGCTAGAAAATTCGGTATCAGACCTAATAAAATTATTATATCAGGTGATTTTATTCAAAAAGAAACGGTCAAGTAATTTATTTTTCATTCTTAAGGTGTATGTAATTATTAATTTTATTTTAATATTAACATTAAATTATTATGTGTATATATAACATTTTGTGTTCTTTCAGGCTTCCCCAAATCTTGCGGAACCAGTACAAAATCTCATAAAGAATTCCATTGATGTGGATGAAATTATCGATATAATTTTTACTGTGATCGAATGGGGACCATAAACGTTGAAATAATAAAATTCTTAATATAATTTTACAGTTGGTTTTGCTTTTGTTTCTTTCGTTAACAAAAGAACTTAATTTATTTATACAAATCCTTTTAGCCAATTTCTTTACTGAAAATCCTACGAAAATTCCTATTATCTTTGTCATGCAAAAAATAATAACCAGAAAAAAATGGAACCAAGAATATTTTTTTTCAGAGAACTTTGTTTTTTTTTTGTTTTTTTTGTGGCAAAATCCTTAAGGCGCACTGCTATGATAAATTAAATATTAATCATTATCCTTTTTCACACTTACTTGTATTTTATTTTTGCTTCGTATTGCAGAAAGAAAAGGCATAAAATGCCATTAAGTTATGCTACATTGAAAGTTTGCTGCTTTTTTTTTACAAAAAAAATCTCCCAAGCATTAAAAGGAAATAAAATATAATAATGACGGAATATTCAGTGCTTTTAATGCTAACAAATTAGGGTGAGAAATCAGCGTAAGAAAAAGGATTTCAAAATTATCAAAAACAAACAGCCAAATTACCTTAAGAGCTTTTTAGGTGCAAAAAAGAAGCAATAGAAAGGAAAAACAATAACTAAAGCATATAAAAAATTAAAGGTAAAGCTACAACACATAAAGAAAGAAAAAGGAAAATAACCTCTAGAAAGGGTAAAACTCCAAATATACCACAAGACAAAAATTCTGTTGGGGTTGCCCATAAAAAACCAAAAATATTTTCTCCTTCACCTTTTATTCTTTTATTTTAGTTAAATTGTTTCTTTTGCCAACAAAAGCTTTTTTGTATCTTCTAACTTTTCGGCGGAAACCCCGAAAATTATGCCACACTTGACTGACTAAGATATGTATTGTTTTTGCACGTATTGTTAGCTCGGAACGCGTAGGCGAGCAGGCAGTCAGGTGGAAGCACTACAAGTTTCGCTGCACGAAATACCAGCACATCAGGTTGACCATTGTTTTTAAGCTCACATATATACCTATATATATATTGTTTTATATTAAATATAAGAGTTCTTTCAATGCAAAGCAGTATACTCATCTTCAGTCTGAATCTTAGGTCTGAAGATGAGTTGGTAAATGAGTTGAGAATCAACATGGATGCTTGTCTTTCACTGCACTGAATCTTTAAAAATTCTTACAGACGAGCGCGTGTCGCAATTTGAAGTGCCTGATATGTCTGATACCGACAGAAATTATCCGAGTGTGAAATTTTTTTATTTAATACGTTTTTTATGGAAAAAATTACCCAATAATGCTACTGTAATGGGTTAAAGCATACTTTCAGGCAATTTTCGCATAATTTTATATAAATTATGAATGCCGCGTTCAAGCGTGCAAAAATTTATAGATTTTCTTGTCCCTAACAAGGATTGGAGTTTTTTTGTTATTAAAAAATTGGGCTTTAAATATATATAAGCGCGTACTATAAATCACACAAAATCCAAAAAAAATATAACTTTATACCACAATCTGTGATGCAATTTATAATATGTGCTGCAGTATGTCAAGTGTTTTGCTCTCGTTTGTAATAATTAACGCAGGTTTTATTTAAATTTAGTTTATAATTCACGTATAAGATTTTTACTCGTTTTGTGAAAGTCTTGCGGTTGCGTTGCCTTGGCCCATATTTGAGCTTTTGTCATTTAAACATAACGCATTTATAATTTCTCATTAATATGAATAAGGATTTCTGAATTTGCGTACAGGTACGCACCTCTTTTGCATTATGCGAATTAAAACGCTCAAAAGTAGTACAATGACAACAAATTTTACGGAGAAGGATACTTTGTGCATACCATGTCACTACATAACAAAATGGTATGCTAAGTTATTTAGGAATAATCAAGACTTTAATATCAATAATGAGATATGCATAGCATATTTATAACACTTTGAGTATCTAAAAAAATGGCAATATAAATGGCACTGGGTATAGCCTTTGCGGAACTACAGGTAGAAAAATAATTTTTGAATCAGATTAACCACGAAACATAGTTTTATATAAGAGTAAAGTGCAAACCCTATCTTCTAATAGGAGGAAAATATCTAAGTAGAAAGCATTAGATTATACGCATGGAATATGACGATTGATATCAAATTAATAAAATAAATTTTTTTCTTTATTACTTCTCATCTGAATCTGGAGAACTCGAAATTGTCTAGAACAAAATAAATATTGTTGCCATAACACAATATATTCCAATACATAAAGTTATTAAAAGGAAGGCTTTACTCAAATGCGATTTTCTGCTTGTGACAACAACATGTCTCCGAAGCATAGCAAACACGCTTCTTTTTAATCCCTCCTTCTTGTTGTTGGTACACTTCTTTTGGTTCTACATTCAAAAAACGCTTGCTTATCATCAACAGATGCAGTTTTCACATACTAGAAGAGTTGGTATATGGATAAATTTTAATCAATTGCTAAATTATTACTATTCTTAAATTTATTAATTATAAGGGAACAGACCGATTATGAGCATAATAAACGTATTGTGTGTAGCTTTGATCCTAAACTCTACAATTTTAAGCATTTCATGAAATTTAACAGTATGAGGTTTATTATTTTGTAATTAACACGGAGACATAACAATACTATCTACCATATATGGTGAAGCGTCCATCAGTCAAGAACTGAGTATATACAAAAAATATTCTATGAGATATTTGCTCATAAATTAATTCTCATCAGTCGATTTGATCAAGTGTAGTGCTTCACACATGCTTGTCTATTCACATATCATTCCATTTTGCAACATTCATAATTCTTACTTAAAACTAGCTGAGTACATATTCATTGGTGCGAACAATAACTAGAGGCAAACTAAGAAACTGCACAGATAAAAACGCATATAAAAAGAAAGATAATAATCACATGAATATCATTAATATGCTTAAGCCGGCTTCATCATATGTGCATCTGCTTGTGCCTGTGCATCCTGCCAAGCACCCACAAGCGGTAGTGTTAAGCTCTACTTACACTCTTGCTGCTTTATGTGCTGCAATTACTAGAACCAACATCTTTTGTATTTACGTTGCAACGAGAAGCTTATAAGGACAGACATGCATACAACGCTTAATGTTCAAAAGAGGATAGGCCCACATCCTACCATCCAACCATCCAACATCCTTGTTAGTACATTTTCAGAATGCAGTTTGCATTTTGTAAGTGTGTAGGCTGTTCACTGCGTCTACTATTATTCTTAATTTCGTATATGAAAAATGATCTCGTTAACAGTGGTGTATGTCGCCTAAAAGTCTACCATGAAACATAATTATTTTCTGCATTTTGTTTTTAATTTTATTTCTTTGTCGTAATAATAAAAATTGCCATGTACAAACAGCGTAAAAGAGCTTAAATTGAATTTTTTTTTTGTTTTATTTTATTTTACTTTATTTTATTTTATTTAATTTTTTCTTCTATGAAATTTTAATGCTTTCTTTTGTTCCCAATCCCCTTCCATTTTTTATATATTGCATATTGTATGCTGGAATGTGACTTAAGTTTTATATCCTTATATGTTAAGTGATTCTGCCAAATTATTTTGTAAGTTGCAATAGTTTGCAACTTGTAATTTCTATAAACTGCTTCCCACATTTTTATTTCCAAACTAGCGTTACTCGCGGCACCATTCTCTCTATTTGTTAATGAATATATATTGTTTTAAGTTAAAAATTTAAATGGATTAAAGTAAGTTTACTACTTAACTTTTAGTTTATTTCTCCTTGTTCTTTTTTTGGGTTATCCTGTAAGGATTGCCAGCAAATTTTTTTGGTTGTCGTAAATTTGCTCTTTGACAGATTCTCGCTGCATTCTGCATATTTGTTCAACTTTATACATTCCTCAGATGGGTTTTGTACCAAGTTTTATTTTGTTTTACTACTTGTTGTTTATTCATTTTGTTTAACATTAATGTGCTCCAGAGTGACGCCACAACATTGCCAAAGAATCCGCCAAAAATTGTGCATTAAGCAAATGTTTTCGCATTTATTTTTTGCATAGTTGCAGTTTTTTAACCTCCCGGAACCAAGAATGTTGCTTAAAGTGTATGACAAGCGATTTAAAATGTAGCATTTGTCTTCTTAGTTTGTAATCGTGGAGTTATAAGAACATTTTAAGAACTCCTTCAATTAATTTAGGAGCCGAAATTGTTTTTCGATTTCATTTATTATGAATGTGAATAAGATTTTTAAAAAATAAAAAAAGATAACTTTTTTGGTCTACTCTTATTATTATACGTCATTATTATTTTGATCTGGAGTATAGGGAAGGTGTGAGAAGTAAAAGATCTGCCTCTTTACACCCGTTTATTTAAGTCAAGCTCAATTGCAGATATAATTTTTGACAATTGCTACGAATTTGATTTTAATGAAATTTTCAGGACTCAAAATTGGTTTCCAGATGATTTATTCAGTGTAGCGGTGTTTATAAAAACTCAATGTATTTGATCGCAAAGCTAAGCTCACCATTTCCCAAAAGCCATTTTGAGTCGATTTAGTCTATTTGAAGCGAGACTTCAATCAGTCCATAAAGAAAGTAAACAAGATCAGACTAAGCGGTAGCAAAAATATGTACTCTGCTGATTCCTAAATCTCATGAAAGAGTCTACAAAAAAGATTCGTTTTTTATATGATCACCCGTTATTAGTGCATTCTTAATTTTTATAACATACCTGAGATTTCTGCTTTAATTCGTTTAGTTAGCCTTTTTGCCAGCGGTAAGGGGGTTAAGCCTTTTTAGAAGTCAGTATCGCAGTTAACTTCCCATTCATAAAGTATTTTTTAGAACTATTAATAATCCGTAAACTAATTCAGATATTATTAAGAGATTGCATATTCTCCTAATCACTAATCACAGAGATCTTACTGGATTACGTTTGGAAAAGTTCAAAGCATTCCATATCAATCGAAAGTGTGTTGGAAATTCTATTATAAATTTAAGAGCTATTTAATTGTATAAGAAGATATTTATATCGGTATCTAAAATGATCTTG